ACAGTTCCTTGGTGCGACAGATCGTTTTAATGTGTATAAGATATCTGAAACTGATTTATCATATGCCAAAGAAGTATTTTACATGTATTTTAATTTAATCAATTTATCTTTTATTCGAAATTATTTAAAAAATGTTCAGGTATTTGATGATTTAGAAATACTATACCGTTGGTATATATACAGAATACTATATGATATGAGAGCTACATCTGCGTACGCAGATTTAGCTTTGAATGATCAGCAACGGCCAACGAATTGCACTGAATTGTTGTCTTTAATGTTAAATCACGTTAAAACAAATTTAAAATCCTCTGATTCAACCGGTGACGAAACCAAAGAGGAGATTGAGAGAATCAATCCCCATTCTTCTGGAAGATTTAAGTCACTGAAGGGGTTACGAACTTACTCGTTTTCGCAAGCAAAAACTCAATTTTTCTCGATGACAGTCCCTGACCGCAAAAAATTCCTAGTTCCTAGTGCTTGGATTTAACTGTGGATCCCTCATCTGACAGTGCATCATTCACAAGTAAATGCATTTTGGACGTTATTATGACTTATTCGGATAAAACAGTTATGGTGCCAGATTTAATTGAAGCTGGATGTCTAGAGATCATAACAGATGGGTTAGCAATGATATCCGAGTAAGTCATTAGTTGATCTCCACACATCGTCATCTATGGAGTTCTTTACCAATCTCTTGATTAATTATCATTCTATAGTTAATAGTGAAGATCCTTTGAAACAGACGACATGCACTGCACTTGTTAACATTCTATGGAGTATATCGTTTCAAGGTAGATACAAAAAAAAATTAAAAAATTTCAATACAAAATTCAAAGATTTAATTCAACATCTGTCGAAAGGTACAAAAGAGAAAATTGCATCTAATCAGTATGTTCCACACTATATTGAAAACATACAAAAAGCAGCTGAAAGTCTTCTATTTAATATCGATTTGTCAATGCATCCAGCAACTAAACAAGCAGATGATTCACCAACAATCTCAGACATCATGCAAAAACCAATTATTATGTTTAGTTATTCACATAAAGATCGTGATATTTGTAGACAGTTATGCAGTGAAATAGTCGAAAGAGGATATGATATATGGGTTGATTATTTTATAGAAACCGGTGATCAATGGGAACAGATTGCTGCTGGTATGAAACAGGCCAGTCTTAATCCATGTTTAATGTCTGAAGATTATTTTAAAAGTAATTCATGTCGACAAGAAGCCATGTTTGCATTAGAAAGATTAAAACCACAAAAGAAACCAATTACACCTGTTTATCTTGAGAGACCTGAATTGCCTGACTGGTTTGGTAAGTTAGTTTGAAAAATAAATATCTCCTGAAACTACTGGATATGTGAAGTCTCTTAAACCTACTTTCTTCAGTTATTTTCTGTTTGTCGAATCATTATAAATCGTACTCTCTTTATCATCTAGCTTTCACAAAGATTTGTGCTTAATCTATTGAATATTTTACTATTTGATTTATTTTACTTTGTTTATTCTTTATTAGATATTCGATCGCTAGACTTGCAATATGTTCGTTTTCTTGACCCAAAACAATTGAAATCGGAAACATTACTCGCACTAATTGATAAAATTGAACATAGTTTCTTACAAATGGTACCCCACACGGCGCCAATAACAATGGAGAAAGCAAATCAACTTACATCAAAGAGCAGCGTTACTCTTCCAATACTTTACGACCAACCAGTGCAGACAAAACCAACCGTAACAAAATTACAAAACCAAGACATTTCCTTAAAAAGCAGCTATGTTCAATGGTAATAACTTAGTATTGTTTAAGCATTTTTTAATCATGAAACTGATAGTGAATGGCTAAGATTTTTTTCATCAAAGTTCGTACATTAGACCGCATAAGATAGCCCAAAACTAAAGTAAAACGAATTTTTTTTCAGTTTTTCTTAACAGATCAATAGACAGATCTCATACAGTAAGGTGCAAAAATTTTTGCCCCATGCATAAGTTAACTTTCTAAAAGCATATTTTTGAAAGTTTTTGGAGAGATTTCTTGAGAAGTTTCCAGGAGACAGAGTGAGGTCTTTTTATAGCTTTGTAAACTACAAAATTAGTCGATGCTGTTGCTTTCAACAGCATAGTGGTCTTAAACACCAAGGTCGAGCAACGAAGTATTTCCTACACAAAGAACTGCTTGAAATGATCACGTGGCTGTTGAACGATCTCGACATCAATCGAATAGAAACTTCTAGTCGATACTCGAGCACCGTGTCGCAACGTGAAAACCATAAAATTCAGGTGAACTGAACAGATTTCTATGAGAGAAATGACGCAAAATCGACTAGACCGCTCTAAATAATTTGGGAAAGTCGGGAAAAGCACACTGTTTTGCTTTGACTGACTCGAGAGGGGAGAAGAACTGTTAATTACAATATTCTTTTAGCCTGTGCCATCTCTTATTTCTTTATATTTGATTTTCCTACTCATCACTTTTACACTGAAAAAACACTGAAATACTGAGGGCAACAACTTTTCCAGCCTGCTGGATATGGCAAGGGGAAAACGACTGACTTTTTGACTTAAGTCACTTAAATGATCTTTTGGACCCTGGTGATCTAAATATGACTTTTTTGACTTTCATGACTGAAGTCATTAAAGTCATTCATTTTTTTTAATTTTTGGTGTTTTATTTGTATATTTCTGTGACCTTTGACATTGTGCAGATTTATTAGAGATAATTCATAAAGAACATTCGATGAAATAGCGCATGTTTTTGATCCCCTTCTCATCTGGAAAAGTTCTGTCACGATCAGCTTTCCTTCTCTTGGTGTACATCTAGTTCTCAAAAATTTTTAGAAGACATGTTGGGTCTGATATACTATTTCTTCGTATTAAATGATAGTCTATTTCGTAAGTTGGTGCAAAAAAGAAATGAAAAAACTATGCAGGTTCAGCTGTTTTCTATCAGAACCTGTCAGAGACCGAAACGAATAAGAGAATCTTCATTCAGATTCGACGCGATTTGATTCGATCAAATCTTATATTCGGTTTGATATGCCTTCTAAAATCTCAAATGCGGATTCGATTACCGACTTCGATTGTGTCGAGAAAAATTTACTTAAATTTTTGAACGTCACCTGTTCAGCAATGCGCCTGTGATCAATACTAATTACACGAGCAAACTTGACGTCCAAATGGATGTGAACAAACAAATAAAGAAATATCTGTCTGATAAAAATGGCAGTCAGTGACTGACGACAAAGGCATTCTAGTTGAAGAACTATATGTAGAGATCTCTGGATTTAAAGATTTAGAACCAACTTGACCCACTGAAATTTTTTAGGGAATAAGTTAAGTTGGAAAATCTTGTCATCCTCCTGGTTGTCAGACTCATCGTCACTAAATTCAATGTCGTGTAATCACTTGAATGTCTTTTTGTGACGTTCGATTTGTGCCTAAATTCGTATATTCAACAGATCTAATTTTCTGCGAACAGCATTTCACTCACGTGATCGGTCACTCTCCCAACAGATTTTCGACATGGATCGCAAACAAGTTGTGCATATGAATGGCGGAACTGGAATCGATCGAAGATGGTAATTTCTTGTGCCGTATTGATGTGCTGAACGGCCACAGCCGACGACGGCGTTTTGAAACACGGAACACACGATAAGCATTTTTTCTTCTGTGTTGAAATTCCGAATTCTCGTAATAATTCGCCTTTGTGGTTACTGCACACGTACGATTGACGGAGATCAAAGTGACCTAGAAAAAACATCTCGGCGCGTAACAAAAGCACTTCGATTGCATTTCATGCACCTGGAAAAGACTTGAGAGAACTTTCGATTTGCTGAAGATCGTACAGTCGCTCTGATGAATCGTGACTGCAAGTACTAACGTTTGAAACATACATGGTACCGCCGGCGTGGTGATAAAGAATACAACGAATCTGATTTGCTCTCGTTCTTTAGCTTCAGATAAAATATGTGTTCCGCTTCCTTTTCTTTCATCATTCTTCGCCATTGTCTCGCTCTCTTCTATTCCGCTTATCTAAGGGCCTCCTCGTCTCTAGTTACCACTCAACTTCAGACACAAAAAGAACAATTTTGAACGACTCCTATACTTGCGTCAGCTGCTTCATGCAGTAGTCTTTTATTTTGATTATCGTTATAAAAAAAGATAAATACGGTATACATGATCGAACGTACACCTTTTGGAATTTTTGATAGTATTATTTAGTCACATTTGCACAGTGATGTTACTGTTTGATCGACATGGAGCGGACATAATGCAGCATCTCATTTGATTCTGAACTCAGTGAGACGAACAAAATCCAAAAGAGATCTGAACATGAAACATAATTTCTTGTGACACTAAACGAATGCAGTGAATTTCGTGAAGTTGTTGCGGAGAAAGCGTGATTTTTTGATTAAGAAGGATTAAGTGGACGAACAAATTTTTCTTCAGGGAAAGACAAGAAGCTGTTGAGGAGAAAACCCGATTTCTTGATTGAAAAGCGTAAATTTCTGATGGAGAAATAGATTTTTTGTCAGGGAAGGACAACAAGAAGCACCGATTTCTTCATTAAAAAACATGAACTTCTTATGCAGAAACACCGAGCTATTCAGGAAAAACCTTGAAGTTCTTATGCAGAAACACCGAGTTCTTCAGAAAAATCCTTGAACTTCTAGCGGAGAAACAACTATTTTATCATTTCGAAAGGTGAAATTCTTATAGAGAAACACCGATTTGTTCAGCAAAAACACAAGAAAAATTTCTTTCTCGTTAAGAAATTCTTGCTTTTCAACCAAGAAATCGGTGCTTCTTGTTCTCCTTCCTTGACGAAAACTTGTTGTCCTTCCCTGACAAAAAATCTGTTTCTCCATCAGAAATTTACGCTTTTCAATCAAGAAATCGGGTTTTCTCCTCAACAGCTTCTTGTCTTTCCCTGAAGAAAAATTTGTTCGTCCACTTAATCCTGGGGAGGGAGGCTGACATACACAGCGACACTTCAAGCACAATTCTCTCCAGTGAAAATGATATAAGCAATTGTCTGGTAAGGTGGCATAATGCTGAATGATTTCCCACCACCCTCATAAGCTGTTGACCCTTCTATTGAATGAGAATGAGTGCCATCATTGCCGATGGTTATTCCAGTTTGTCCCCCCGGAATTCCGTGGTGATGACGCCAGAAGGAGTAGAGGCCGCCGCCGCCGCGACCGACGGTTTGGGGGCCGTCGTTCCCGCGATCCATAATGTCGTTGTTGCTGTTTGCCGTGAAACCCCCATGATTATGACCTGGATAATTGACTGTATGTTTATGTGTGCCTGCATAGGCAGTGTCTAATGTACCCGCACTATGGCGATGAGTAGGCATTTCATTAATTGTGAGGGTGTGTTCTTTATTTCCTTTTGTCCAACCGTTTACCCGACTTCCGATTGGATTGAGACCTAGTGGGAAACGGTCGCGAAAATCAGGCACATTGAACGTTGTTTTTCCATCTCGAGCTCCGAATGATTCACCGATAACAGAAAAGAGTCGTTGATATTCAATACACGAAACTGCAGTTCCATTACAGAAAAGCCAAGGAAAGGGGGGATGACTGCCAGCTGAATATAGTCGAATTTCACCTATCATACATGTAGATGATTAAATGACGCTTGTTTTTGTTAATCCACCGAATGTCCGAGGCAGGTTTAATGTGCTCATTGTTCGAATCATTGCATGATTCGTTTTCTCAGCGGTCAATTCTTTTGCCATTAGAGTAACTTGTAGATTGTCAGTGATATCTGTCAGTTTATAAACTTGAAATGATTTCGGTATAACCTTTTCTCCTTTCCATTCAGTTTCTATCGACTTCTGATCAAGATATTTTTTAATATCTGTCAAGGAGATAACATCATGCGTTGTTTTTCCGGTAGCACCCGACTCAGCCTTATTAACTGATGCAGATATGTCCATACTTCGTGATAGAATTCCAAGAATGCTAGCTGAGCTTTTAAATGGAGCTGACACCGCCAATGATTTGGCATATTCTTCATGAAAGTCATAGTATTTATCACTTGTATTACGATAATTAGTTTCCGCCTGATTATAAGTGAAGATTTTATTGAGTTCCGAAGTAAGACGATCAGGATTTAAGTCACTAGAAGACCAAACTTGACCATACATGTTCAGATCTAATTTCTCTTATTTTGAGTTATCCATGCCTAAAAGAAGAAATGAAACATGGACGCAAAATGCATCAAAGTTTTCTCTTTTGGTTAAAAGCCCGGTCTCAGACATATCAGACTACTTATAAGAAGCTACTGACCTTGGTGCATTAGTGAAACAAATTGGTCTTCTAATCCAGCAGTTAAACTGGATGTGTTTGACTTTGGATCTTCTTTGTAAATTATCTTTCTAACGTTGGCCAAATAGATAGAAATAAATTTGTTGGCCTGGCCTTTATGAATATAAGTTGCTTTTGTATTTTCTCCGTCAGCTGTTGCTTTTGAGAGAACACTTTTTAATGAATCGCTGGTGATTGACACTATACTTGTTGAGACTTTGTTGAGCCCAGCAAAGAAGAATGCAAATTCTACATCATAATCGCCATCGATCACACGTGACATGACTTCCTTAGCAATGACTTCCGATGAACATTCAAATCTAATTGTCATTGTTTTATCACTGGGGTGTATTCTACGAAATGGATGTACACCAGGCACCGGATTATTATTTGCACCAACAACGAAGGCTGAAAATGAATCGATGATGAGTGGAGCTACATCAAATGTTCCAGTTTCTCCTGTTTTGGCCACTTTTTTTCGTGTCATATCGTCAATTTCATCGTTACCAAACATGACATTGAGACGTAGCTCGCCTCTGCCAGAAGTCCATATCCAATTAGTGTCTAGCTTCTTCTTGGGAAACATAATTGGCACGTAATAATAGATTAGGTTATTCGGATCATTTGAAAGTGACTTGTAGATATAGATTTGTTATATAAAATATAATATGCAGTTTAAGTAAAACACAAGAATAATATATTATTATTTTCTCACGAGAAATATGAGATATATTGTTAACTTTTTCTTTATAAGGAGTAGAGACACACTGGTATTTATATTTCCACAAGGCAGGTAGAATTTTTCCATAAAAACTAGAGGCATATTACTAATAGCTTTCCAATAAACAGTAGATACCCATTGCTGACTGTAGAGATACATTAATAATATATTTTCTCATGAGGAAGAAAAGCATATCACTGGTGATTTGCCCGTAAGAACTAGACAAATATGATTGATGTATTTTCTCATGAAGGAAAGACATATTGGTAATGTGTTTTCCTCATAAAGAGCCGAAACATATTGTGGAAATATTTTGTCAGATGAAGGGAAGATAAATTTATATTGTTGACATAGAGATAGAGAAAGAAATACTATGCAATGATTACTTAGGCTATCTCTCTCTGTCTTATGTTCCCCCTTTTGCTACTATAATGTATAATATGCACGAGTGAATGGCATATTTCCTATGTGTTTAGTATTCGACGATTATTTGAGTGATAGAAAACTCGAAAAGAAGTCTCGCTGACACGAATATTGCTTGAAATTTCGCGCTCTACAAAACCCGTATGCTTTTATCGAGATGCGAGACAGTCATGTATATGGTGGTATAGATCCCATGGAATTACCCACTAGCAATGTAGAAGTTCATAGCCATCTCGCAACCTACTTTTTAAAAAGGACAAGAGTGAATGAATGAAATTGAGGATGAGATCTGTCATACTGGCCTGACAGATATTGTATACAAAACTGTAAGAACGATATCCATTTAATAAACTTTTCGAAAAACAGACATCGGTTCAACTTATAGAAACTTTGAGGCATAGTTTCCTTTCTTTCACTAAGAATCATACCGGATTCTCTTATCTTGATAGTCGTTATTTGAGCGTCTAAATGAGCACTTCTGTATCAATGATTCTGGCACGGTCTTATGAACTTGCTCAATCAGTTACACAAATTGGTTTTATTAGTTTTATCTATTTACAAGATTCCAAGGTGTATTGATCGTTAGAGCAAAATAAACGTGTCGCTAGGCCGTTGCATGTTTCAGAAAAGCAGGATGCTTAATCCGGTCTGTATTTAAGGACTTTTTCAGTTTTATTGAAAAACATCAGAAATCTCTTACAAATAAAGACCGATCGATATTAAGAAAAAGATTACAACAGTTCCTTGGTGCGACAGATCGTTTTAATGTGTATAAGATATCTGAAACTGATTTATCATATGCCAAAGAAGTATTTTACATGTATTTTAATTTAATCAATTTATCTTTTATTCGAAATTTATTCGAAAGAAAAAAATCCCCCAAAACACAGTTCTTTACCACATTTAACAAAAGCAGAGAATCACGGTGATGAATTTTCCATTTCCTATGTTTTCACATCGATACTTTCTATATCTTTTCTCATTTTTCTCGTGTGAACATAGGAAACGCTTATAAGAGGTCTAGCAAACGCCTGGCAGGGATCACTTTACTCTTACATATTATTACTTATTAGTATTGGTTTCAGAATAAAGAAAGCTTTATATTTTTTGAATAACCCAAGAACGAAGACGAAACGAGTTACAGACTTCGAGTTTTGATCACTAAGAAGTGCTTTTGTAACATCTTTTAATAAGTGATATTGATTCAAAACTATTTTTTAAGATCAACTTTTTAAGAAATCTTTCGAAAATCAGGTCGTAGCTCCTCCCATCTATGTCACTGAGAAAACGTTTTATTAAGTGAGAGCGGATATTGCAGGCAAATCTAACTGATCGCCGCTTCCTGTTTACTTCTCACCGACTGAATCGTCTACGAGAAAATGAATATTTCACTTGAAACAATGGTGGCGGTCGTTCTGTACCACAATTTCGACTATCTTTTGAATGTGTTCGACTATGACGATGATGTTCACCATCTCCATTAAAGGAGTGGGGCGGATAAGGCCATTTTTCGACCCTGAATATTTTTTGATGAAAACCGTCGGATTAGAGGTTATTCGACATGCTGAACAAAATGGCGTTTACCGTTTTTCGAAATTCAGACTTTCGATTTTTTCGACCTGTGGTACCCCTCAGGAAAAGTGAAAAATTATTTTTCTCTGATCTTTTAAAAAAGACATGTAATCGATGCAGAATTTTGCGCTGATTCCGAATATCACTTTGGTGTTGAGAAAAAATGGGATTATCACGGCGATAAATGCATTTTACTTTGGGAAGATCATTGACCATAATAATTAGAAAACACGCTACGTGCTTTGTAAAAGTGCATTGCAGAACAGGAAAAAGTGTGTCTCCTATCCAGAATTAATTGCTCTATCTAGTGCATTGCAAAAAGATGTTTTACAACTACTTTTTGTATCGAAAATCGTAAAACCAGGGCCAAAATCTTGAAATTTCTTTCAATTAGTTGATGTGCTTTTCTTACTGTGCTCAAACGAAATGAGGTTACAATGTTATATTTATAGAATATAGACAATTTTTTATGTTCTTTTGAATGGAACTAGTTTAAAAAATATAAAATGAGGACTTTTGGTAAAATCAAGGATTTGGGGGGTAAAATCCAATTTTTTTCGATTTTTTGAAGTGATTTTCCTATGTTGTTTGATTGAAATAAGGTTACAATGTTATATTCATAGAATATAGACAACTTTTTATGTTCTTTCGAATGGAACTAGTTTAAAACGAGGATCTTTTTTTAAAAATCATGTTTTTATTTTAGCTTCGCTGTTCTTGAATAAGTTTAGTATAATTTTTTGTTTATAAATACGAAAGGTGTAAGAAAAATAAGCATTTGAACAAATTCATAAAAAATACTGATGGTTACCTTAACTATAAAAGCTCTTGGCTTTTGCTGCTCGTTCCTCTTTGTTATTTTTCCATCTAACGCTTTCTTAGTTAGAATTTTTAATTTAT